AAGTTTCAATGAATGGACATGACATTTAATCAGAATCATTTTCTGAGCTGTAATTATCAGTATCGGTTTCAGTCTCTGCTTCTGCAGCTACTCTGTTGTGTCTGTCATTATCCATTGGAGAGTTCAGTTTGTAACCTAGGACTTGCTTGTCCTCAGTGCACAGAAATTAGATCAATCTGATACTATACATATTTTTTAGAAATGATTTGGAAAATATTTGAACACCTTGTCTTAAAATATTTTATTCACCGTGTTAAAATAAAATGTTCCATGATCATTTTTTTCTTTTCTTTTTTCAATTTTTCGGGAAAAACCAAATGAGGGAAAACTGGTTTTTTCCCCGAATTTTCCCAGTTTTTTTCCAGGCCTTCACATCTCTAGCCACAAATCATGGAAGGCAGTTTGATCATGATGACTAAATGCAACCTCCGTATCCAGAAGAAGTCTACCTGAGGACAGGACATGGGGGCAAGAGCAGGAAGGAGAAAGCCATCGCCTACATTACATTCCCGAGTGACGGATCTTAAATTGTAATTAATTAGAGGAGGAGGGAGCTCTTTAACTTTGAATGTACTTTTGACCAGTGTTCCCTCTAAGCTGAGTTAGTGTGAGCTAGCTCAGAGTTCTTTAGCCCCCGGCTCACACATTTTTGTCTCAACTCAGGAAGGATGGCTCCAGAGAAAAATTATTTATGCAGTAGCCAAATAGCTCGCTCACAACTTTTTTATTATTATTATTTATAGTTTTATTAAATTTTTATAAGTAATTGAAGTATTTACATAACTGCTAAAACATAAGTATAGCTCAATGTATAACCAATAACATTAAAGAGCCAGTAGCTCACAAAGTAGAATTTTGGCTCACAAGACTCCACAGCTTAGAGGGAGCATTGCATTTGACTCTAGGGGGCGGTGCTCATCTCCGTTTCCAAGCCGAAGAGCCAGCGTTGTCCGAGGACATTTACGTGGTCATGTGGCCTTTAAGAATTTACATTCTCTTAAAAGATCTGCATGCTGTGAAAGGGCCTGGCCTGCAAGGCCCTGGCTACCTTGATCTCTGAAGCTAAGCAGGGTTGGTTCTGGTTAGCATTTGGGTGGGAGACCACCGAGGAAGTCCAGGGTCCGCTACGCAGAGGCAAGCAACAGAATGCTGCCTCATGTTCATCTCTTGCCTTGAGAAACCTGCAGGGTTGTCGTATGTCGACTGTGACTTTCCGCCACCAGCTGAAACAGGGGAAGAAATCTGGAGGCCTAAAAAACCCTCCGATGTTATATCTAGATTGTTAAAGTCTTTGGTCTGATACACATATATATATTGTTTTTCTGGGTCCCTTCCCAGAAGGGATTAGGGGAAGGGTTTTAGGAGGTATCAGGAAAGAAGAATGTCGAAATCTGGACGCTCTTTGGACAGAAAGTTGGCTCTGCCTCTCGGAATCTTTAGACAGAGCCGGTTTCTCAACCAGGTGGCGCAACCAGGACGTGACCTCGTGATGCCAGTTCCCAGAAGGGCGGGTTTTTCGTGCCCAGTTCCCCTCCTGGAACATTGCTACGCTTCATTCAGAAGAGCTTTCGCCAGACACCGCATCCAAGGAGGAAAGAGGAAGCCGGAGGCTTTCAGGTTTGCAGAGGGACACCAAGCCGCAAGTAAGTACCCACGCTGGGGGCAGATTGCCCCAGACGCCAACCGGCAACCGTTTCTACAAGGGCCTCTTGATTCCAGCTTGGGGGATTTGGCATTGGAAGGGGGAGCTGATCTGCGGCTAAAAGAGGCACAGGCAGAGGTGAGAGAGGGACCACCATGAATGGTTGATGCTCCAGATCAAAAGCATGGGACCCTCCTGGCTCGCCACACCGTTGCACAGCAGAAAAACCAGCTGCCAAATCCGGCATGCCTCTTGATCCACGTTTTTAGTCCGTGTGCCTGAGTTTTTCCAGCAATGGGAGGGCACTGCAGGTCGTTCTCTAGCTTAACCGACAGCACATAGGAGTGGTCCAAGAGCAGCCACACACCAAGATGGCTCCCTAAATGGGAAGCTCCAAATCAGTGGCTGATTCTGCACTGGCTTTTCCCTGCGTTGAAATTCCCCTCTGCATTGCTTGCTGCTTTTCGCTTCCTTTGGTCATCGGATTTTATGGTAGCCTCCACGCTCCATGCGGCTTTCGCTTCCTTTGGTCATCGTATTTTATGGTAGCCTCCACGCTGCATGCTGCTTTCGCTTCCTTTGGTCATCGGATTTTATGGTAGCCTCCACCCTGCATGCTGCTTTCGCTTCCTTTGGTCAACGGATTTTATGGTAGCCTCCACCCTGCATGCTGCTTTCGCTTCCTTTGGTCATCGGATTTTAGGGTACCTTCTGCATAGATTTATGGCCGATTTATGGCCATTTTATGGCCATTCAGGGGTGACTTTGCAGTCAGTATGGCATCGGCCTGAGGTTTTTGGTTGCGGTTTTGAGCTGCACCTTTTCCTCAGCGTTGAGAAAATGTGGAGCGAATGCCAAATGCAGAACCACCCCGATGACAGAATCTGTCTCTTGGCCTTCTCTGCCTCTCATCATTCCCTGGTTTGGTTTGTGTTGTCTGCCACCAAACTTAGAATCATAGAATGTTAAGAGTTGGAAGGGACCTTGCAGGTCATCTAGTCCAACCCACTGCACTCTGCAGGAGCGTAGCAGAAAGATAGCCCTACAACATACCCAAAGGACGGTCACCCAGCCTCCGCTTGAAAATGTCCAGCGAAGGAGCATCCACCACCTCCCGAGGCAGTCTGTTCCACTGCTCAACCACTCTTACAGTTTGGAAGTTTCTCCTGGTATTTAGCCGGTAACGACTCCCTTGGCAGTACATATGAGAAACGCCTTCCGTCGAAACTTATTACAGAGGGAAAAAATACGTGGCGGTGGAAAGTGCTGTCAAGTTGCAGCCGACTTATGACAACTCCATCGGGTTTTCAAGGCAAGAGACATTCAGAGGTGGTTCGCCATGGCCTGCCTCTGCATAGGGACCCCGGACTTCCTTGGTGGTCTCCCCTCCAAGTACTACACGGGGCCGACCCTGCTTAGCTTCCGAGATCTGACAAGATTGGGTTAGCCTGGGCCAGGGGTCATTTCCTAGAAAAAGAGGTGTAGGAGCTCATCAGCATAACTCATTAGTGTGTCAGTGTGTGTCAGAAGTGTGTCAGAAGGCAACACCCACCGCTCAGGCGCCACTGGACTGGTCTGGATTGCCAGCTATTGGGGGGGGGGGACGTGCAGATCTGTCCTCGCAGAGGAGGGAGAGCTTGTACCTGAATAAAACTTGGTCTTAAAGGTGCCACTGGACTGTTTTGGACGGGGGGGGCTCTGCAGCTTACCTGGCGCAGGGGGCGGGGCTTGTTGCATGTGCCCGCCCCCTGGGCTCTTTACTGCCAGAGCTCCGCTCCTGTGCGCTCCTGCCGGAAATGACCCCTGGCCTGGGCCATCCCTCTCAGGGTAGGAGAAAATAGAGATGTGTGTTATTTGTGTCCAGTGGCACGTGGTGTAAGGGTGGTGAGCCTTTAAGCAGCGGCTGGACGAACACTTGTCAGGGATGCTCTAGGCTGATCCCGCATTGAGCAGGGGGCTGGACTAGACGGCCTGTCTGGCCCCCTTCCTACTCTGTGGTTCCCTGAGTCTATTATTTAGATCAGTGGAGGAAAGAGGATACCGATTTAAAAAATGCACCCCTCTCCTTGGCTGTTTTTCTGTAAAAATACAGAACGGTGTGATCGGCCATATGGTGCGGGTCTAGGGTTGCCAACGTCCAGGGGGGGCCTGGAGATCTCCCGGAATTACGACTGCTATCCAAACGACCAAGATCGGTTACCCTGGAGAAAATGGCTGCTTTGGGGGAGTGGATGATATGGTGTTATACCCGGCAGAGGTCCTTCCCTTCCCCTAAATGTGTCCTCCCTGGGCTCCACCCCCCCACCCCACCCCCAAATATCACGGTATTTCCCAACCTAGCAGTTGGCAAAGCAACACAGAGTTTAACCATCGGAAGCTGTGGGGAGGGAGGTTGCAGAAGGAGGGTGAGGTTTGACTCCTCCTGTTGTTATATGTTGTTCAGTTGGTCCTAATAAAAGGTACTTCCCTGGCCTGGATGATCCAGGTTTCCCCAATCCTGTCGGACCTCAGAAGCTAAGCCGGGTCGGCTCCGGTTAGTACTTGGAGGGGAGACCACCAAGGAAGTCCGGGGTCGCTACGCAGAGGCGGGCGATGGGAAACCAGTGAAAGAGAAGGGCTCGAGATGAGCTGGAGAACTTTGTGATTGCAAAGTTCCTAGTCGCTACGACGGGGGGGGGAGGGGGCATACACTTTGAAAGCACACAGACTATGGCTTGTCACATTGCAGAAGACATCTACTTAGACTAAAAGGTAAAGATCTCCCTTGCTCGAAAGCCAGTCGAGTCCAACTCTAGGGTTGCGGTGCTCATCTCCCTTTCCAAGCCGAAGAGCCAGCGCTGTCCGAAGACGTTTCCGTGGTCATGTGGCCGGCATGACTAAACACCAAGGCACACGGAACGCTGTTACCTTCCCACCGAAGTGGTACCTATTTATCTACTTGCAATTCCTTGCTTTCAAACTGCTAGGTTGGCAGGAGCTGGAACTAGAGACGGGAGCTCACTCCAGCATGCGGCACACTCAGGTCTCAAACTGCTGAACTACCGCCCTTCCACAGCCTGCAGTTCAGCGTCTTACCCACTTGAGCCACCACAGCTCCTTAGCACCGCAGCTACTTAGACTGGCAGTCTCCAAAACTGCTTTAGGCTTGATGAAGTCGATGGCCACACGTAGTTTTTTTGGGCCTCAGAATCATGGGTTTCAATTATTTCACAAACTAAGCAATTTTTTTACCTTTCCCACTCTCAAAGGAGCACAGTGAGGCTCCATTGTATCTTACAACAACCCCAGAAGGTAGGTTAGAGCCTGAGAGAGTAAACAGACCAAGCTGCAAAGCAGGGTGGGGGATCGGAACCCATGCCTCCCGGCTCCTAATCTGCCACTCGAGCCCACGACACCACACTGACTTCTCAGGCTTGTGTAAACTAGGGGTTAAGGGACTGAGCCACAAATCCGGATGTCCCTGGTTCTAATCTCACCACCGGCATCGCTCAGTGGCCCTACACAAGTTCCCTTTTTCTTAGCCTCGAGACAGCTCACAGACACCCATCTACAATATGGGGGATAATAATGCTGACCTACTCTACGAGATTGTTGTTAAGATTATAATACGGTATGTAATTGCTATGAAGAGCTGAGAGTGCTGCTTGGCCGAAACTCCCTCTCCAGAGCCAGGCAGTACAGGTACACTTAGTTTCAAAGAGAAGTTAAGAAACAACATAAGACAAACAATAAGACTCAAGACAAACAAACAATAAACACTAGAGCATATACTCTTGTCTCTACTTAAGTTGCCAAAGTATAGTAAGTACGTTTTCTTTTACACCTGTTTCAGTTTATATACAATGTTTTTGTTGTTCAGTCGCACAGTCGAGTCCGACTCTTTGCGACCCCATGGACCAGATCACGCCAGGCCTTCCGGTCTTCCGCCGTCCTCTGAAGTTTGCTCAACTTCATGTTCGTTGCATCTATGACACTGTCTCACCATCTCATCCTTTGCCATCCCCGTCTTCTTTGACCTTCAATCTTTCCCAGCATCAGGGTCTTCTCCAGTGAGTGCTCCCTTCTCATTGGGTGGCCAAAGTATTTGAGCTTCAGTTTCATTATCTGGCCTTCCAGGGAACGGTCAGGGTTGATTTCTTTTAGGATTGACTGATTTGATCTCCTTGCAGTCCAAGGGACTCTCAAGAGACTTCTCCAGCACCATAGTTCAAAAGAATCTATTCTTCGGCGCTCG